AGAGGTATGGGCAGCGCCTAGTCTCCTTAAACATGTAAAAAATACACCTTGCTATTGAGTTGCATAATAGTAACAATAATAGGGAAACCAAAATATAAAAACCTGTGGGCATACAGGGGAAAATAACAACAACATTTTATAGATTATATTATCATCATCAACATCATCTAATGCAAATAATAATAACCGTCATCATCACAAGCAACAAGGGCTCAAATGCAGAAATAAAAGTAATAAAGTTTGAGGATGTAGGGAAAAAGGATTTTACCAAAAAAACATGAACTTATGTAAGAGTAGAACAATGAACTCTGTGTCCCTCAGCTCACATATTGGCTGTTTATTATTTAATAGATGTTTACTCTGCCCATCAAAAATATTTTTCCCTGCATGGTTTCCTGTAGCATGTAGAAGAGGTGTACCTAAGCAGTTTTCTTTACCTCTATCTTTGCTAACGTGAATGCCCAGTGCTACAAATATAATGTTGGTATAAGTGTATGTTTGATTCACCCTGCAATTAGTACCCTGGCTCCCCTTGGAACATTTTACAAAATAACAGCCCTCTCATTTATTTTATTTATTAAAACATTTTTATGCCGCCCCATTCGCCGAAGCCTCGGGGCGGCTTACAACATTAAGATAAAATACAAACATTAAGTTAAAATACAAACATCATTGGATCCGCACTCTAGCTGGATAAGACACATGGAGTGAATTGGACTTCCCTGCTCCTTCCTTCCATCAGCAGCATCCCCATGCTGCAGAGTTGGGAGAGCCTGCCGAAAGGAGTGAGTATGGAAAGGGAAGGCCTTCCCTGACCCCAGTTGTGTGGAGGACCCTTCCACGAGCAGAGCCCTTCCTCTTAAAGGGGCCCCTCCTGCTCCCAGAAAGCAGACCCTGGGCTCAATCCACAAGGCTGCCTTAATCCAGCCCTCCCCAACCTGGCAGCCTGCAGATGCATCTGGATTGCAGCTCCCAGAATTCCTATCCAGCAGGACCATTGACTGGGAATTCTGGGTGTTGCAGTCCAAATGTGTCTGGGAGGCACAAGGCTGGGGAAGGCTGCCTTAAGCGGCATGCAAGGGATCACAGGCTTCATAGCGAGGAATGCTCAGGGCCAGTGTCAGCACCCGTGGTCCCTGGACAGCTGCCATGTTGGGTGTGCTAACTTCTGTTCTGGCTCCTTGTCACTATTGCCGTTCTTTAAGCAGCACTGTACTCTGAGCCACCCCAAGCAGTACTGGATCGAACTGCCCCTTCATTACTCACAAAGGTCCCAGCCTAGCATCACTCTGGACCATTATATGAAATGAAATGAAATGAAATGAAATGAAATGAAATGAAATGAAAAGCGGCTGGCTGGTTCAATTCAGCCACCCAGCACTGCCGACAAAGCCACGTGAGCCTCCCGTGCCTATAGAGAGAGGGGATTTTGCACAGGGCCTCCTTCACTCTGGAGCTGGCATGACGATTGCCACTCTGCTCCTGCCTTTGTTTGCCTCGACAGTGGAGCTAGTTCTATCCAGGGATGTGCAAATCAACCAAACTCTTGCAAAGTTTGTTCTGACTTGGGTTTGTGTTGTTGTGTGAGCTTTGTTTTCAGCTTTTCTCATGAAAATCTGTGCATGCATTTTCCAAATGTATGAATCCATTGTGCTTATCTTTCACATTCATATGATTAAAGCATATTTAGGGACCTTTTTTTTTTCAAAAAGACACATTTTCCATGCCCTTTTTTCTAACATGCAAAATATGCATGCTGTAACACACTTTCAATTTTGATCTGTGAATCACACTGCAAGTTCTGAAATGTATGGATTTCAACTTCAGATCATGTCCCAGTCCATGTTCAGTCCAGAAGTATGAACAGGGTAAATACTGATAAAAACAAAAACAAACTGAAGTGAATTTCTTAAATATCCTTAGTTCTGCCTTATGGAATCTGTCTATCTAATGTGGCATCTATCAAATGAAACATGTAAATGATCTGCTGCTAATTTCAGAAGTTCTGTGCATAAGTCTAAAAAGTTCCAATTTCAGCCCTTAATGTCATTTTAATGCTATTTTTTAAAATGTAATTATAACTCCAACAGCATCTGAGATTTGAAGCTGACAATAGTGATACAAAAAGGGACGCTGCAAAAATAGCTCCACTCAAACTTTATTAGTGATTAGAGAGAGAGAGAGGAGTCATCATCCAGCTCTTTCCTGAAAATTATTTTCAGTTGAGATAGGAAGCCATTTGTTTTCTGGTGCTTGCCGCTTGTAGAACTAGACCCGTCTTGTCACCATTTTTCTGGTGGCATCTCAGACAGAATGTATCTGTGGGAGGGCTGGTTGTCCATTGCTTTGTGTTGGATTTCTCTTTCCTCTTTCTTTTGGGGCAGGAGGCTAGCTATGATATTCTGCTCCATGTTTCTTGTCCACCCACTGACCAATGATTCTAGATCAACTGTGCAATGAAATAAGGTCAGTTGCCTGAAACTGCTGTGTTAAGTTTGCTTCTCTTGAGAACTGGGTCTTACTGCCTATAGCTCAAGTTTGGAGAATTAGGAACATTTCAATTAGAGAAGAGATTAAGGAGTGATACCATTTTTCAAAGAAAGTTATGCTGTAGGAGAGCTGGTGGAGGGTTCGGTCAGGGGCTGGGATGTCTTGCACCAGCACTACTCCAGCTGTACGATTCTGTGCGCTTGCAGGAGTCAACCAAGTGCATAGAGAGCAAATCAATGCATTACGATGTAGTTTATTTTACCCTGAAAGTGGAATGGTTCTCCCCACTGAGGGGCATTTCCTCCTTGGGTGCCAGTGTTTGTTCAGAGAGAGCAGGTCTCTGGTTGAACTTGGGGTGATTACATGCCTAGGAGCATGGCGATACCATACCCTTAACTGATATTATTAACAGGTTTGGAGACAGGTCCAAGATAAGAAAGCTGCAGTTGCTGAAATTCCACTTCTGCAGTGTGGACAGAGGCCCTGTGTTCTATGTTAGGGTATACGGAAATCAGTTATGTTCGGTGCTGAAATACTGAAATGGTGCTTTTCTCAATTTTTGCGACATATTCACAAACAGATCACAGGGATGTCATTCCATCGCTGTTTGCTGATTTCCTCCAGTGAATACTTCTTGATTTTGTTGAAACTTTACCCATTCATTCTGTTATGATGGGCTGCGTGCATCGCATGCTGCCCTCTTTCGATTGGATATGTGGTGTAGTTATCCAATGCCATGCAAAGAGCAAGTTGACCGACCGACACAGCAGAAATGTTGAATTGTGTATTCAAGTTGTCAGTTAGTCATCCAATTAAGAGTACAAACAATAGCACATAACTCTTAGAAGTACCAACACAGCACAAATTCTGAATTGTATATTCATATATATTCATATATATATCACACACACACATTTTGATCCATTCTGTCATGTTCATTGTTGTTTTGTTCCTTGACTGGATGGCTTATATAATTAACTAAGATTGTGAACTGCCGATTTCAATGTGATACACCATTTGAAATCTGAACTCAAGAAATGTGCAACAATATGATCTTAAAACCCATGATGAAAAGGGAATATTCACATACCGCACACATTAGTAAAGGACATTTTTGAAGCTCACAAAATACACCCTGGATTGGCGCCAAGCAAGAGCATTGAGGCCTGATCTGAAGTCATGGAAACTGACCTAAGTAGAAATAATGTGACAAAACTTCATGTGCTGAATTTGTTGCTGGAGTTAATTTACGGACTTGTCTGCACTAGCAAACAACAGCTGTGTGTCAATATATTTCAGGTATATTGGATCAATTATACATGTAGGCTTCAGATAACATTGAAGGCCATTTTCTCATTTTTATTAATACCTGGATATGCACCACTATGCAAAAAAACCCATCTCAGTTCTAGTGTATACTGCATTAACCATTTCTTTTCTTACTTCATCCTTCAGTGCCTTTGGTATCCTTGCACTACCATAAATTTATCTATGTGCCCATGTATATTAACCTTAACTTTTTTAACCCTTTCATATCAATAGCATTGTCTTCTCTCTGCATCGCTACTGATTTCTCAGCTACCTCTCTCTTTTCCCTCTTTGGCCTCATCTCTAATGGCCCATTTGGCTTTATGTATCCCACGGATTTTTTCCTGATTTCTCTACATGACCCCAGAGGGTTGTGCCCATCATACCTCTTTCCCCTTCCATAGCCCACAAATCTATTTGCACGCCCAACCTTCACTTATTAGTCTCCCTCATGTTTTGCTGCACACCTTTCTACATTAAGCCATTTACTTCCTTCGGCCTCTTCTTAGGCTCAGTTTCTCTTCCAGCCTCCTGGTTGTCAATGTGCAGCTTAACCACCACAACTAACACGTTCCTGTTCCCAGGAGTTTGTGCTCGAAGAACGTCTCCACATACGCCGTGGTAGCAAATTCTGGTTCTGAGCGAACGTTAGGGAGCTATGACCAGTCTTTGTGTTACCAGCATGATAGAAGTGTTCCCAGAAGCATCTCAGCTTCCTTCACACATGCTGTTTTTTGATACAAGCTGAATGTCATGTCTGAATTATTCTTCAAAGAAGTTCAAGAGAAAGCAGGGGCTGGATGAACTGGCCTCAGCATCATTGAGTGCCCGTGAATCTCGGGAGAGGAGAAGCTGTGCAGAACAGGATGGCTGTTCTGGCATGCCGTCTAAGTGGGTGCCAGATATTTCCCCCAAGTGTTGAAAAGCCATGACACATAGATGCTTGGGGGCTCCAAATGGTCAGAGATGGGGACTTAATCAGCCCTCAGGCATTATGTTGTGCAGACCTGCTGGCACTGTATGTAAACAAATATTGCCAGGAGAAGTTGGCTCTGCCCCTAAAAAATGGCCCCATTTGCATGTGAAAATCAAGGAAGAAGGGAATTAGATCCAGAACAATGGAAGTCATATCTGCTTATTAAGTGATCAATGGCTGTTCATATAGCTTAACTATTTGGCTTAACTATTGTCTATTTTCACAGATGGGAAAACTGAGACAAAGCGGTTAAGCAACCTGCTTTAAGTTCTTGTCTGAACCAGGATTGTCATAGATGATATCTGGCCTTCTGATCATGTCTACAGACTACTAAGACCACAGTTTTCTATATGCTCCAGGTAAGAACATGTTGTGTGCTGGTGTACCAGGGTCTGCTCCAGGTTTATTAGACTCTTGGTGCCCTCCTTGATTCTCAACTTGCAAGTGTGGAAATGTAAATACCCTCCCAGAAATGCAATGCTCCCCCTTCTGAAAGAAGGATGCTCTTGAAAGGTTGCCCAGAATTGTTCAGCGCATAGTTAAGAGAGCAGAACCAGCATCCTGGCATGGCTGTTATTCTTTGCAAGTTTGTGAATCACTGGGAAAAGGAATGAGAACACTTTCTCATCAGATAATGTACCTTCTCATACTCTTTGAAAGATGGTAGGATAGAAAGCTTTGCCCTGTGACCCCTTCTTTTGATACCCAGTGCATCCCAGTGGGTGGAAAACTGCAGATGGACTCCAGCAGGAAAACTTTCAATGGGGGCAGAGGAATTCCAGATTTCAATGAATATTCAGCAAATTGTGATTTGAAGTATAAGCAAAAACATGAGCAAGCTTGCTAGATGGAAGCTAACAGCCTGTTTAAGGTAAGCTCTCTATGTTTATAGTGTAGGTTCTATATGGTCTGTCAATCAAAGAAACAGGTGAACAGAAATATTTATCAATATTATAATTATTACATTTATATTCTGTCTTTCTTCCTCTTGCAAGGAACTCAAGGCAGCTTACAAAGTCCTCCTCCTTTCCATTTTATCCTCAGTCACAGGGTTTTACAACAATGGTGTGCGGTAGCTTAGGCTGAGGGCTAGTGATTGACTCAGAGTCTCCGGTGGCTCTTGAACCCAGGTCTTTGTGTCCCATTCCAGTGCTCTTAACCTGGTTTGGGATTCAGTCCAGGTTGAGTGGGGTGGAGCAGTGGAGGTGCGCACAGATCCACTTTTCCACCTGCACATTCAAAGTAGTTTGTGAAAAGGGCTTTGGAGAATCCCCAAATCCATTATCTTGGCGGATGGCCCTTCTCTTCCATCATCCAGATCTGTTTTGTTCTTACCCTCTGCATGGTTCATAAGCAGGCCAGAGGCAAATCGGAACACATAGGAATTGAGCTGCAGCCTTAACATCCCACAGAGGCCCACCAGCATGGCTAGTAGCCTAGAGGCAAAAAAATCTCCAACATGCCAGTGACTGCAATGATAAGCAATTAAGTATCCTTGGCTTAACCTACCAAGAATCCTGGCCATTCTTGGCTCAACCTACCAGTTGCCCATGGGGAAAGAGCTGGGTCAGACTCAAAGGACTTTGAAGAGCCAGGAGGAATTCCAGTGGTCCAAGATGTCACATGGCTTCTCCTGATATTTGAGCCCCGACACCTTTTGGGGGTGCCTACCAACAATGGGGAACAGGCTAGTAGCTCCCTCTCCTAGTAACCACTCCACTCTCCTAGTAACCACTCCAGTGATGCAAGAATGGGGCATCTCGGTCCAATAGCTAGAGTCCAACTTCTGAGACCCCCAGTGGCTCATGTCTGTCCATGGACAATATGTCTCCCTGGCAAGCCCAGCCTCACTATCCACACTGGCATCTTCGCCTGCAGCACTGTCCCCAAAACACCATCATGTAGCTTGTGATTTTGCACCAAAGCTGGCTAGCTCCGACTCACACATTCATTCCCTAGCACAGCAAGCCTTAGGACTGGGCCATTAGATAATCAATTTCTCTGCTTGAAACTATTTAAGCATCACATTTCCTCCTAACAACTCCCTGTAGAAAAGTTAAACATGCTATGTGGCTTCCCCTAGTCTTCAGGATCAGTGGAAAACTCCTCAGGATTTCCAAATTAATATTCCCTGGGACTCAGATAAAGACTTTCAAAGTGAGCTTCAAAGTTGCTTCTCCTCCACCCCACCCATTTGCAATTTACTGTCTATATTTAACCATGTGAATGCAGATTGTAAAGAAGCATGAAGCAGCTTTAGCTCAGTGATGGCAGTTCCTTTCTACTGCTGGAAAGGAACTAACTATAATTACTTAAATGACACCTTTTGCAAAACATTAATCTTTGTGTAAATGGCTCTCTTTTCAACATGCTGCCTGAATGTGTGTGTGTGTGTGTGTGTGAGAGAGAGAGAGAGAGAGAGAGAGATTTTGGTGTGCATGTTTCATTCTTTTCGAGCCATATCAGGGTGCTCTGAAAGGAAAATGAAGAAAATTCCAAAATCCAGCCCTCAAAGCCTTGCTTCCCCCCTTCTCTGTGACCCCAGCAATCTCTTTAGCGAGCCATGGTTCAGCAAACTGGCACACAGCAGCCGTTCTGCAGTGGAAAAATCATAAACCAGATGGAAGCTTTACATTTTTGTTTAGTTTTTAAGAGCAGTTTTTATAACATCGCTTAAAATCGTTCTGATGCATCATACTGTTTACACTTAAGACTTTGTAGCTAAGATGTTTACACTACAGAGAATGTTTTAAGATATTTTATAGTTATGATATTTAGATAATTGGCAAGAAAAAAGATAGTTTGTTGAGATTACAGTGATGTTGGTAACCGTGAAGTAACTTATGAGACTCAATAAATATGTCCAGTTCGGTGGAAAGTACAAACTCAGTTAAAACAAAACAACACAAGAGGGAATGTCTTCTTAGTGAAATCATTTCCTTTTCTTAATCAAAAGATGACAACCAAAGCTTTAGAACTCCCATCTGTAACACACCATGCCACATATCTCTGTATCCACTGTGGGTTTCTTTTGTTTTTGTAATTGATACAGTTAAATCAGTTTTTAAAGTGTTAAAATGACAACAACAGCAGCATCTCCAACAGCAAAGTCATATGAATTGTGTGCAGAAGTGGAGAAATTTAGTTCTTGCTAGACAAAAGCTGGTCCTGCCTAAGTTGTGTTTAAGTGTGTCGTTTTCCTGTGAATGCTTCTTCAATGCCTTAATGAAGAATGTGCTTCTTCGGAGCATCTGGTTTTTGGATTTTTTCAAAAAAATGCATTAATCAAAAACAATAACTTCTTTTAACTTTTGTAAAGTGCTCAGAAGACAAGTATGAAAAATCTGTGTGTGGGCTTCAAATGTTGGGAATGCAAACATTTCACAATAAACATGTGTAAATGAAAGTACTTGGCTAGATATGCTGAAAGATAGTACATGCTGGGTTAATTAATGCATACCCCATTAAAATAAACCTTGCTTTCAAGATCTGACCAATAAAAATCATTAGTATATTTGGATCAGATGTGCTGATGGATGATTTTTATGTATATGTTAAACTTTTGTAGAAAGAATTGTCCTTGGAATACCTGAAACCAGATTTCAGATTAAAGTCAAACCCTTCCATTACCTCTCTGTC